CAAGAGCTCTCAGCAGCTAGGCCCCAACACTCACTTCACAGAGAGGAGAGGAGAGGAGAGGAGAGGAGAGGAGAGGAGAGGAGAGGAGAGGAAAGCAACCAAGCCCAAGCAAACCAAAGCGCGGGAATCTGAACATCATTTTCGGCTCTGTTTCTTGGAAAAAGAGCGTCGTCACTTTGGCAGAGGCTCTGCCTTGACCCGCTGTTTTTTCAGCGGCGCAGCAGTCTGATCGGCCGAAAGCGGGGCTGTCTACGATAAAACATGTAGGAAAAATCCCTCAGAGATCCCTAAGTCATCTGATAGGAAAAATGGAGCCGAAAGCAAGAAACCCCAAGCTTGCTTCAGGCCACTTGAAAGTCGAATCCAAGCAAGCAACCAGAAGACACAAACACGACTCGAATTCAAATCTGACTCTGTCCGTGATGCTAACCAGAAGGCTTGAATCTGAGTTCAACCAAATTAGAAATGCTAGGCAGAAGGCTTGAATCTAAGTTCAACCAAATTCGAAAACAACATCAAGCAGCTCAAGTCCAAATGGAAGCTGAATTGTTAACACTACAATGGCCCAGGCTTGCATTTAAATTCCAGATCAAAAATGCCTTACACACGAATGAGAATAGGTTAAATTTGGATTTAAGTGAAAACTAAGAAGTGGAGTGCCAAAAAGACTTGCATCCAGATTCGAGAGTGTAGCAGACAGACACAGCCAGGTATATGGACAGAGGTTAAATCTGAATTCAAGACTTTTGAAATCTGGTTTCCAGTCGTTTTCGCGACGAGCTTGAAACTGTGCAACAAAGCTCCAGCATAAAAGAGAAAGAGTGTGTGCGGACTGTTCGGTTCTTTTTGCCTCTTCAGAGATTGGCGGGCATCGTGGGGAGTGACGTGGAGAGGCCATCTCCGCCGCTGGTGGTGACAAATCTGGAGAACCAGGCTGACCAGGAGATGGGACCACGACAAGTTGACTGTTGAGGAATGATCAGTTTGTTAATAGTGTTTACCTTTATTTGTTGCAATGATCTCCGACTCCCCTTTTGATGAGCTCATTTTTGGGCATTTATGTGTTTTCAAGCTTGGAAGATGGTGTTAGGTGTGATCAGGAACTGTTGCTACAAAGATGCTATGTTGGGATGTGCTGGCTTCGGTTTCCGTCTTCTAAAGGCAGCTGGGGAGACAAGGTCAGGCTCACACATCGCCCAAGCTCGCAGAGTACCTGGAAAGTTGATCGAAGCTTCGGTTGATGCTTGAAGGTCTCCACTTGCCGTTCCTGTCTCCCATTGCCATTGTGCTTCCTAAGCTGTCGCCTTACCCTTATTTTTTCGTGTCAGCCCACAACGAAGTCGCTTGCTTTGTCACATATCAATCCCAGACTGCCTGTGCCTGAGAGAACAGCATGTAAAGCAGTTTACTTGAAGCAAGCAGAGTCTTCCAATGTACCTCGGCTGACTCTTCCGCAGTTCAATTTTGATTCAATACTTGATGCCAGTCCACAGCCAGCAAATTTTTGCAGAATACTTTGGCTCATGTGATAGAGCTACGGAATGAACAACAAGACCCAATAACATCAAGTAATCCAAGTGCCAGGAGGTTGGCTGGTCTGAGTTTGGACCTCAGTTGTTGGAAGCGAGTGCCAAAAAAGACAAGTATGCTCAGAATTCAGAATTCACTGTCAGCCCCCACAACCTTTGGGGCTTTGGTGGAACTCAATTCCCTGTGAATAGCAATACAATTGGGCTTTGAGCGCCAAAGGCTTGCAGATAAGACGGTGGGGAGGTTTAGAACATCAGGACACTTTCATTGTAAATAACAATGCAAGTGTCAAGAAATGGATGTTTTGTGGTTTAACAATGGTCAATTTGTGAGCAGTTCCATGCGAATGGCAAAGCAAAGCAACGTTAAGTGTCCGTGAACATCTAGGAACCAAATCATGAGTGCGAGCGGGTGAAGAAGCGTGAGTTATCCTGCGCCCTGTTTCTAGGAGCGAATTAGTCTCCAGTAGCTTACTCCCCTACTTAAGTAAGTAGGCACATACTCAATTAAGTAGCAGCGGGCTTAATTAAGTAGCAGCAGTAACCCAACCCTAAACCATCCTAAACCCTAATGATCCCTAGCTGATCGGTGTGGGCGGATGGTGAGTCAGTCCTGGTACAACAGATCCACGGCATGAAGTTTGCACATCCATTTTGATGTCTCAGCTCTTTGATGTCTCAGCTCTTTTTCCATGCGGATACTTTGTGAATTTGAGTTCTGCGGCTCAGGGCAGTGAGCCCAAGATCAAGGTGCGAGTTGACTGGCTTTTTGTATACTGTTGTTCGCTCTACTGACTTCACTTCAAGCAATATCATTGACAATACAGGGGAGAGACATGTGCTGTAATAAATGGCAAGTCAAGGCAATGTTTGTGTATTTTGCGCCAAGCATTATTAGCAAGTACTCCTTTTCAGGCTTGAGCCAGACCGTTTACAGTCTGCCCTGCAGGTTGGGGTCTCCAGACGTTCCGGGCGAAGCACGATGCTAAGATGGCACATTGTGGAGAACGCATTTCTCAATTACAGTGCAAGAGAAGTGCTCTGTGCTGGTGAAGCAATATTTCTCATGAGATTAGTAACAGGGTTTAGACTGTGAATGCATAGACTATACACACAAAGACGTTCTTCATATAAACACAGAGAAGCTGAGTTTGAACTTGGACCCAGTTTGTATCTTAAGCGAGACCAGGCGAGTAGATCAGGATCTCCCCGCATCAGCGACACTTATCACACGTGGTTTCATACGGAACTTAAGTTTTCCTAAAAATCTAGGAACCAAATGAATAGTGCGAGCGCTTCTTCAAGGAAGCTCCACCCGCCTTCAGGCAGGGGGAGCTTCCTTGAAGAAGCGTGAGCTAGAAGCGGGAGCTCTTCTGCATCCTAGGTAGGAGCGTTCTTGTAGCTACTAGCGACTCCCTAGCTACTACCAGTTCCCTCTACTAGCGGCCTATCCCCCCGGGCTTAAAGAACACTTTGTGGGCGCTTTGTCAAATATCTCCACAGGTTGTTTGCTTGGCTCACATCGGAGGGAGTGCACTGCAGGTCTGATGACTTTTCTTCTCGCGGTTTCTGGTGGGTTTCACACTATTCAACTCGAGTGTACAAGGTGAGCTCTCAGTGTACATATCAGCATTCGAGTGCTTGAAAATGTAAGGCCGGATAGCTCCGAAGTTCAGCGTCTGCAAGTGGAAGATCAAACTCCTTACAATCAATTAAGGACCGGACCATGCAGCTGGTTTACTTTGTGGAGAAGCTTTAATCAGATGGCTTTCCGTGCTCTTTGTTCGAGCAGTGCTATTGTTTGCTGCTTTTGTTCTCTGGACCTCAGCCTCTGCATTGGACGTGTGCAAGATCATTCAATGCAGTGTTGGTGACTTCGGAATGCATCTCTATGATATATCTTTATTGGACGGCAAAGCCGGCTGCATGAAGTTTTAAGTATTTTTGGGACACTGATCAGAGATGTGTGGCAGCGCATCATTGAAACTGCCGAAGTGTTGTCCACTTGAGTAGAGAATCTCTGAGAACTGAGAATGAGAGAGCGGTTTTTGCCACGATAAGCAAGATTCTTTTATCTGCAAAGTGACGGTGGCCCTACGTCCTTAGAGCCCAAGGTGGGCCTCACACCCGAGAAGACGCGTCTTGATGAGTTTCGCAAAGGTCGCGTATATAATGAGCAGGACTGTATTCACCTGCTCATTATGAATGCAGTTCATATATTAGAAACAAGAAGCTATTAGGAACAAGTGCATCGCTAGTCATATATTCTAGGTTTGTTCACCTGTTCACGACTTTTGTAGCGTATTATATAGTATTGTTGCTGATAAGCCTGCCAGCTTGTCATCTCCGACACTCACCTCAATGGGTCTGTGTTCAGCAGATAAGCTCTCCTCATGAGGGGTCTGCAATCTCTTCAGAAAAAAGACCTTGCGGACAGCGATTTCAAGTGCTCGACGCCCAAGAAGTACGCAAGACATCGAACACATGCAGATACGTTGAACACATGGTGCACATGCACATGATGTGTTTGGCCTCAGCTGCATTCATGTGTGCATGACGGGGTACCAGTATGTCGAAGAAGCGCACTTCCAGTTGGAACCCTATACATAGTGGCTACTTTACACGCAAGCTGACTGGTGAGGGTGTCGAGTTTTGGGATGCCAAACAGAGAGAGAGAGAGAGATTGACACCGTGCCTCGTTGGTGGAATCATTTTGAGGCACCGGCGTCCACCTGACCAGACAGGTTCCGCACAAAATATAGGGTGGCGCCAGGAATCCAGGAAGTAGTAGCGATGCTCTTTGTTCCTAGTAGCGTCCTCGCTCCTAGCAGTAAGGCCAGGAGCCCCTAGCTTCTTGTTCCTAGTAGCGATGCCAGGAGCCCCCAGTAGCGTCCTTGCTCCTAAGATAATGTTAAGTACATCCATGCCCATATCTACATAATGGAGGTAGAGCAATTCATGCACATAGGTTGACATATCCGGGGGGGTGCAACAGTCAGTCGAGAATTTGCAGTTATCAACCACTGGAGAATCAATGTGACCCTTGAGAAGTTCCACCATGCTTTGCATGCAGGTCCAGCATGTGTTTGCCGGTATGACGGTTCATGACAGAGAACTCAGACATTGTTGTCAAGATCATGACAGAGAACAAGGGAAACTGCCGATGTACTCAACGACAGTTGGCTCACTACACCGTACCATGGAGACTGGATGCAACTTCATGACACACACACATCATATTACATATAATATATATAGAATTATTGCATATTTGGTGACAAGGTATTGTTGGGACATGCTGACACAGATGTCGCTTGACCACGCTAGCAAAGAAGCAAACTGGGTTTGAACGTTTCAGCTCCAGAAGCATGTAGCGGCTTCTGCAAAGTTTAAGCAAGACTGTTCACATGGTTGTGCAGAGCACATACTCCCTTTGCAAACTATTTCATAATGATTATGAAGACTAGAAGAGGCAGTGTGCCTTCAGGATGATGGGTTTGCATTTGCGGCCAGATTGAGTCATGTGCTGCCCAAAGCATTGGCAGCTTTCATGATGAGTCTTAACTTGGCGCCAGGATCCCCGGTATGATGACTGGCAAGTCAGAGAAGAACTTCATTGTGCATGTTCCTTGTTTGCCGAGACAGTAATGAACTTCCACAAATGGCAGAGTTTTCTATTTTTCTGTGAGAAATTCTTTTTTCTCTATTTTCTCCAGGCCGGAATATCATCAGATCGCTTTGCAGGCCGCTAGTGAAGGTGTGTTTTGTCAGGTGTTTCCCCGCAACCAGTGCCTTGTATCAGAGCGTTTCTGTCTAAAAGGAACACGGAGTTCCTTGCACTCGTCGATTAGAATTGCAAAGATAGATGATAGATGAATGAATTGCCATAGTTGTCGAATTATGGCCATACTTGGACACGTGAGAGAGGGCTTGCAAGACACTCCCAGTTTTCCACAGCATGAGGCTTCAAACTACGTGGGCCAACCTGAAGTGGGAGTTGACTTGAAGTGTGCTGTCGCCAAAATGAAAGCCCACAGTCAAAAAGTAAGACTGGAAAGGGTCGGGAACGGTCGGAACACTAGGACGAAGAATCATGAATCACACACAATCTACTGCAGTCAGATTTCACGCTGCGAAATGTTGCGAAGGTGGTGGAGTTGGCGCGCGCAGGCTGCGAGAAGTCCATGAGCCAGCTGCAGGCAGCTGGCAGCCATTCGATGGCCACCAACGTCCAACAGACCGGAGTTCGAACAGTATGAAAAGTCCTGAGTATTTTGTCCAAGCACATGCAGAAGTCTGAACGTATGCCTCTCGGCTGAGACAATCAGAACCATGAAACAGACCAGCTATCGCCACAGCTTCTCGACTCGACAGTCAAACAGATCGAGTAAGTGCGACATCCTCAAGCCCCAAAGAGGCCATTGGCTTAATGAGAGTTTAGAGGTGACACGCATACCTGAACATGACCACATGAGCTGTTTGCCACCGTCCTTTCATGTATAGCCACGCATGCCGCAGTGATGGGTCCGAGCCTCAGAGAAAAGATCGTGTCTCGCACTTTCGTTGTGCGCCATAAGGTTGATCGCCACCAGTCGGCGACAAATCGAGAAGTGTACCAAGAAGCTTGGTCGTGGACGTTGCTACAAAGCATTGTTGGTTGAAGGGGGTTGCTACCTCCCGCATGGCAGCGGAGCCCCTGGTGGCTCCAGGGGCGTGAGAGAAAGGATGGCCGCAGGAACATCTGACGTTCCGACTTGGGATGGCAACGCTGCTACGTTCGACACGTTCGTTGGGGCATGCAAGTGGCTTCAGAAAAGCCTGAAGCCTTCGGAAAGATCTCAAGCGGCATCCAAGGTTTGGCAGCAGCTATCAGGAGCAGCTCGCTCAGTTGTCAAACACCTAGATCCAGATCCAGATGAATATACTAATGACGATTGTTTGACACGTCTGTTAAATGTTTTGCGTGCGAGCCCACTTCAACAGTTGCCCATCCCGGATAGCTGGAAAAGTTGCACAACCTGCGCAAAGGTCCTTCAGAGACTATGGCACAGCTCATCGTGAAGGAGGAGGAGATGTTTCAAGATCTGCAACAAAGCCTGATGAGGGATCGTGCACTGAGCCATGTGATAGCCCCTGGCCCTGCACGGATGGATCCTCCATCCACTCCATCCCAATCTCCCGTAGCTGGAGCTCAGCGTCGTGCGTCAGAGCAACGTGAATTTCCACCGGACACAGTTCCCACCATGACCTTGGGATCTGGGACTGAAAGATGAGGCAGAACAAGTATGCCATGTACAGAAGTGCGGACTCCGGACACCAAGCGTGGAGGAACTGGGACCGGATCCCCAAATCATCCGGCCTGGACGAGTACCACCAGAGGGTGGAGAAGTATGGTCGGATGGATGGAGTCCCAACGGCAGCCCCAAGGACAAGATGAGTCCAACCGAAGTGCCATTGTCGCCCTCTCCCAAGAAGACACCAGCGAAGCCAAGACGGCAGGAGAGCGCCCTGGAGAAGGAAGTGAAGGAAATGGCCCTGCGGATGGCGCAGCGAGCAGGAGAAGGCCTATGCGGCAAAGAAGCTGCGAAGGGCAGCGAAGCCCCAGTGATCCTTGACGGAGCGGAAGTGGTGATGATCCGCTCGGACGAGGATGAAGGGGAGGATCAGGATCGAGGAGAAGAGGAGCGGCAAGGGAGCTGGTAATGGCTCCGGAAGCAGCAGACAGCCACAGCAGCACGGCGTCGCCAGATGCCCAGACCATCACTGGTCTCAATCCACGGCAGGATGCAGTTTGCGCCCACACGTCACGCGCCACAAGCCCTCACGGCGCCACGTCTTGCGCCGCCTGTCAGCGCGACAGCGCGGCGTGCACCGCGAACCCAATGGCCGAACCCGGCCATAACATTCACATTCCTCTGCTGGGCACGCGCGGGCATCCAGTATAGAGTGGCAGAGCACGCCCACGGCTTGGGCACACAGCAAGAACCAGAGCAGCAGCAGCAGCAGCAAGAACATGGTTCCACCATCACTGGCGAAGAAGATGTCAGTGACAGCCACACTCCTCGGAGCGATGATCATGGCTCCTGTGCAGTCCATGTTCACCCAAATGTCTGGTCAGGGGGACTTCATGGAAGTGGCGTGCTCAGCCACAAGCTCGCTCAGTGCCGAGACGGAAGCGCATGGCTATTCCATCCAACGAATCAACTACCTGGAAGGACAACAGGTCAGGCGCTGAGCGACTGGCCATCAGCATGAAGAGCAAGAAATCACGAATGACGTGGGTCAGCCTCCCATGCGCCCGTCTCACGTCTCTGACACATCTCACCCAGCGTTCGCCTGAAGAACAAGCAAACTTGGAGAAGAGACAACAGCGCGACCTCAAACGCGCCGATGAGGTGAGTCAAGCGGTCTGTGAGACCCTCGATGAAAGCAATGATTTCGCGCGAGAGTAGCCAACTGGAGCAGCCAAAGGATGGCTGTCAAGAGCCATCCGACGCCTTGAAGCAAGGCTCAAAGAGCTGGAACGACCGGTGTTTTGGCGCCGGTTCCATGGCTGTGCATTCGGCCCCACCTTTAACGGCGTGCCAGTTCGCAAAGGATGGCCGTGATGACGTCCAACAGAGGCCTATGGATGGCATTCCAGAAGAAATGCCAAGCCCATGCAGAACACCTCGAATGCCGAGGCCACGTGGCGCAGGCCAGTGCCTACTACCCCATAGCAATGGTCAAAGCGGTCGTGAAGGCCGTCACTGGCACCTGGACCTCCAATGAAGAGAAGGCCAACATCTCCATAGCCAAGGATGTGCAGGTCCATCTCTTGGGCTTCGATGAAGATGAGACCCAGAAAAGCTGGGAAGGCAAAGCCCGGGAAGAAGATCCATCCATCCTCACTCTGACCAGGCAACGATACCCTACCGAGCAACCCACAGGCAAGAAGCTCGAACAGATGAAGCAGACCATGCTGCGCATTCACAGAGCCTCCGGCCATCCTTCAATGACCAATCTCCAACAAGTTCTCCGCGCCAGAAATGCACCGGCTTGGGCAGTGGCACTGGCTGGAGAACTTCGGTGCAGCGAGTGCATTGAGGCCAAGAAGCCTCGCCCCGCGCCACCAGCCAGCGCCGGAGAACTTCCAGGCCTGTTTGATGTTTTTGAAGTGGAGTTCAACCACCGCGAGACTCAAGAAGTCCAGAAGGCCAAGTTCATTTTATGCAGAGACCGAGCCAGTCGTCTCGCCCAGGTTGACTTGATGAAGATACATGGTACTGGGAGCCCAAGGCAGCTGACGTGCTTCGCTCATCCGGCAAGTGGCTGCAACACAACCCAACACCCAAGTGGGTGATTACTGACCCAGCCACCTACTATACCAGAGGTGATAGACTGATAGACTACATGAGCCAGTGGGTTGATGAACACGCCAGCTGAACCCACTGGCTACTTGGTGCGGAAGAAGGCTGCGTTGGCCACCTTGTCTCGCTTGAAGAAAGAGACACCAGCCTTAGACGTCGAGGCTCTCATGGATCTGTCAGTGCACGCTCGCAACAAGACAGCCGGACCAAATGGATTCAGTCCCTTCCAGTGGTTTAGAGGAGCAGATCCACCTGAAGAGTTGGAATGGGCCCAAAGAAGGCCTGCTAAAGTTGAAAGCCAGGGCGAAAGTGGTGTATGAGATGGAGTCAGCCGGGATCCGCGTGAGCAAACTCTCAAATGCTACCACCAGCCTTAGTCATGGTCTGCGGAAAAGTATCGGGCAGCTGGGTGGGACCACTCCAAGTCCTCCACGGTCTGGATGGCAACTGGCTCCAATATAGTCAAAGCCAAGACAAACCAAGTTCGGCTTGTGACTAAAAGGAAGAATTGCAGGCCTCCCTTGAGGGAACGGCCATCGTCCGAATGCCAGTGACCTTGGAATCCCTTGTAAGGGACTTCACGGGAAAGCGCTTCACAAACATCTGTGGTGAAGCCCCATCGCAGCAGCAGCGACAAACAACGGTGATCCTCGAACCAGCCAGAAACCAACCCGACACCTGGCGAGTCGAACCAGGCAAGTGGCTCATTCAAGCCCGCAACGCCCCAAGACTGGCAAAATGTTCTCTCCAGCACGGGTGACTTCCCCACCTGTAGACGAAGCAAGCCTATCGGGCATCCGTAAGACCCATATGAAGGCTCTCTCATCGAAGGATCGTCGCAAGTGACAATTGAAGACGACTATAAGCGAGCCGATGATCCCCACCGACTGCTCCAAGAGCGGTGGACCGGAGAGACATGGTTCGAGATCTCAACAGCTCAGTCAAGCAAAGGCCCGCAAAAGAGGGCGCCTAAGTTAAGTACAAGTTCAGCCGTGAAGAAGAAGGCCTTCAAGGCCATCCCTCCTGAGGAGGAGGACACGGCAGTTAATGAGACAACAGAATCGCCCATGCCTGATGAAAGCCTCCAAGAGGCTCTTCAACTCTGGAAACCAATGTACGGTTCAAAGTTGCCAGCTGCCAGGAGGTCACGATGGACCACACATGGACCCAGACCAGAAGCGGTTCACGTGGGACCCCTACAATGGACGCATGGATGAAGAGGACTCCTCGTCAATTTCGAGCTCTTCTTCGAGCTCATCCTTTTCTGCTGATGAAATGGTCCCTGTCCGGGAGATGAAGAGAAGGAAGAAAGAGAAAGCTGAGAAGAAGGCGGCTGAACAAGATTATGCTGTCTATGTGCTGGAGATCGAAGTGACTTAAGGAAGCGCAGTGGTTGGCAAACCACCCAAACCGGGCAACTGCCTGGATGTCAAAGAAGGTGCCAGAAAAGAGCAAAGAGAAGCTCTGGTCCAAGTTGAGCCTGGAAGAAAAGAAAGGCTTTGATGAAGCCCAATGCAAGGAGCTCTCACAAGTCCTGCACTCAGATGTCTGACGGAGCAGGAGCACCTTCAGTTGGATCCCGCTTCAGTCATGAAGATGAGGTGGGCCCTCACGACCAAGTGAGATGGGAGCTCCAGGGCCCGACTTGTTGCGCTAGGCTACCAGGCTCCTAATCTGACCCAAGTCGAAGCAGCCTCTCCGACCATGTCCCGCCTGTCTCGCAACATGATCCTTGCTGCGTGTGCCAATCTACACCTGCGCGTCCGTGCAGGGGACGCCGCGTCAGCCTGCCTTCAGGCTGATCAGTGCATGGAAAGCCAAGATTCAAGAGCTCACTGTGTGGGCCCAGCCGAACTGGCAGTACTTTTTTGGGCACCTCCAGAGAACCCGGTCACGCCTGTCCGAGTTCGGCCCACGCGCCAAGGGCGTGGTACGACCGCCTCACCGGCACACTCCGTCGGATCGGGTGGCGCCAGGTGAAAAGTGACAAGTGCATCTTCATCCTCAAAGATGACGCCCCAGACGAAAACGTCTCAGTTGCTGGCATACACGTCGATGACGTGTTGATTGGCGGCCAAGACGGCCATGAGAAGTTTGAGCGTTGCTTCAAGCAGTTGCAAGAAGCATACCGCTGGGGAAAGTGGGAACAAGATGACTTCAAGTTCACAGGCTGCCGCGTCCAGCAGTCCAAGGACTTCCAAATCCGGACCGACCAACAAGAATACACTGACATATGGATCGAAGAGATCCACATTGAAGAGGGCCGGATGCATCAAAGGAAGTCGACTGCAACTCCCAAAGAGGTCTCCCTGCTCAGGGAGCAATTGGAACGATCGCGTTGCGTGCCTCACAGACTTCGCCTCAGTTCCTGGCCGACGCCGGCCTACTCCTCTCCGAGTTGCCATGGGCGACAGTGGAAATGACCCACAAGACCAACAAGCTCATTCCGAGAGATGAAAAGGGAAGCCAACCAATCCCTGATCTTCCACCCATGGAATGAGCCATGGCAGAACATAGCAGTGCTTGCTTGGGCCGATGCAGGCCAAAAGAACCGCCCAGACTCCAGCAGCGCAATGGGCGTCGTTGGTGGACCAGCCCCAGCTGGAATCCTCCACGGTGAAGAGCATGGAGTGTCGCTCATTCACTGGCGGTCGAGCAAGACACCAAGACAAGTACTGGGCTCAAATGGGGCCGAGGTCCAGGCAGTGACGGAGGCAGAGGACTTCGTCTTCCACACCAGAGCCATGTGGTGCGAACTTCATGGCCAGACCTTCGAAAAGAAGGAAGACCTCTATGGCATGGTGAAGACCATGTCACAGGGAGCTGTCATCATGGACAGAGGGATATTTGACGCGGCCACTCGGAACGTGTCAAGTCTCCACGGCCTCCGCTCATCGCGAGCAGGCTATGAGCTCACGATCAGTGGATCAAGCTCGACCCATCGGCGCGCAATTCCGATGGGTGCACGGAGGAGTTCAGGTGGGCGACAGCTAGTGGGCCGCACGAAAGGTTTTGCTGACCTCCATGGCCCGAGGACAACGCTGGAAGTTGGTTCATGACCCGAACTTTGAGTCGAACCGCAAGGTGCGCAAGAAGGAACTGGAGAAGATAATTCGAGAACACGAAGATGCCTTCTTCGCAGCTATCGAACAGCTGGCAGAACAGAGCCGCTGGCCTTTCACATCCGGCAAACAACTCAGGAATGGGGGCGATGAGAGTTTAGAGGTGACACGCATACCTGAACATGACCACATGAGCTGTTTGCCACCGTCCTTTCATGTATAGCCACGCATACCGCAATGGTGGGTCCGAGCCTCAGAGAAAAGATCGTGTCTCGCACTTTCGTTGTGCGCCATAAGGTTGATCGCCACCAGTCGGCGACAAATCGAGAAGTGTACCAAGAAGCTTGGTCGTGGACGTTGCTACAAAGCATTGTTGGTTGAAGGGGGTTGCTGCCTCCCGCACTTAATAAACACTGTGGCCGACTTATCGAATTATCGAAGTAGAAGTGGAAGGTAGAGCCATCACCACGCCAGAAGTAGGCCGTCACCATGCCAGAGAGCCCCATCAACCCCTTGCAGTCTCTTGGTACTGAGGTATCGTGATGTGCGGGTTTTCTTAGAGATCCCGGACAACCTCTGATTCCAAGGTGTCCACACTAATAGGGGGTGCACTTTGAATAACCAAACAAGATATCCTACTCTATAGCTTCCCGCCATCTTGACTGAACTGCCAGTGGCACGAAGGCTTGCACATTTAGGGTTCGTCAGAACCTTGTGATTCCAGCCTGATGATTGGTGCTCAGTGGCTGGCAAGTGAGCTAGCCTGAAGGGACAGGATTGCAGATTTCCCCCGTTCTGCAGGTGTCAGTTCGCGGTGGAGAGAGCGAGATGCAGGTGTCGGCAGTGAAGATACCGCTTTATTGTTGATGTTTGTTTTGACAAGTTGAATCGCAAAGATAAATCAAACCTTTGAGGCAGTGAAAAGGGCAGCATGATTGAACATGTCCATTTGGTTGGCTTGTTGTTGCTAAGTCTTGGGCGACAAGTTCTTTCACCCCCGTAACGCTGAAAAAAACATCTTGGCGATTTATGCAACTGGGACTTGTGCAGGGTCGTTCCGTTACTTTGTGTCACTTCCCCGCATGGTTCTGAAGGCCTACCTCACATTGCCCTGTGCCCTCGGCCCACCAGACACCGGGGGCATAGTGGAGGCTGAGGCCGAGCTGGGCGAGATGTTCCATGTCCCCTTGCCCAAAAGAGGTTGATGCCCACGAGGATTACAGTATTAGGTTTTTTAACGCACGCTTGCAAAAGCCTTGAACAGTTTGCTCACCCTTTTGCAAAATAGCCAGCAGCGCAGTTTGTTGGCTTTGTGAGCAGAGACTTGTCCTGAGGCCACCTGGAGCTTAGCCGGCTGGATCTTCACGTGGTCCGCCAACCGAACTTTTGACAACTGTTTCTTGCTTTCTTGCTCGGCAGTGCATTAGGACCGTTGCCCTCAAACATGTTCAATATGAATTCCAGGTTGATGCTGCACGGAGTTTGTCTCTGTAGAGCCTTTGACTCGGTGTGCGAGGGGCTACTACGCTTCAGTGCAAGAGTGCTGACAGAGGTTCAAGAGACTATATACTTTTATCTTCTTGCCAACAGACACCTTGTTCTTTTGGAGGATTTCGTAAAGATTAGACCTCCACCATCCTCCCAGTTTTGGCGCTAGTTGATTGTCGTTTTGCATCAGTCATTGCTGTGACATTTAGCTCAAAGTTGGGCTTGCTAGCCGACATAGATACATACATGATTCCTTCTGCATCAATACGCAACCTGTGAATGGACGTCCGCGCTTCCAGCATCTACCGTTTCCTTTTCATCGATCAGCTTTTTGCTTCAAAAATGATTTACAGTAAGCTAGCCGATGGCAAATGAAGCACAGCCTCACTTTGGCAGGCCTGCTGAGCTACTGTCCGCTTGCCTGTGCTTTCGTGGTTTGTGAATCCTGCCAGTATTGTGCCGCTTTAGCCCATGAATCTCTGGCAGGTGCCAGAGATGTTGATGCCCTTGTCTCGACTGCTCTGGCACGAGTCTTGACACACACCGCGCCAGAGAGCTTGGCAGAAGAGGATGTGAAGAAGCGCTGCCAGAGGTATTTTGCAGCAGACCGTCATATCTTACAGAAGTTTGTTCAACAAACAGAGAAGCACAGCGTTGCTTCAGCGCAGTCGGTGGTGGAGGCACTTTGCTTCCAACGTTTGCGTTGCCCAGCTGGTGATCCTTGGACGGATGAAGCCCCCACAGCTTTGAGCAACTATGAAGACATGCTAGCCACGCATAGACAGGCAGCTGGCTCTTGGCCTCCTGGTCCGAAGCAAAGCTCCATAAAGGAAGGCGCCCTGAAGACCTCAGACACTGAGGCTTGCATCAACGCGGAGAAACTGGCGGAGCAAGATGTTGCCACAGCTCGGTTCGATGATCCCTTGAACCCAAAGTGTCTCACAAGGAGCGATTCCTACAGGGATCTCTCTTCCACGCGTGTGGAGGTTGTGGTTTTCACTGGCCGCCGAGATCGATTGCGAATCCTTCTGCGCTACCTGCGGCGCGATTTACGTCTGGCAGGTGGGGTCGTGGACAAAGTTATTTTCGCCTTGTGGCAAGTAACTCAGAGGGATGTTTCCTTCATACAAGAACAAGTGAAGCGGACACCTGAGGCCTTTGAGGTACGTGACTTCACTGAAGAGAAATTGGGTGCAGATCGAATGGTTCAATTGTATCAAAGCCTAAATGAGAGCGAGACGGTCTATGTGAAAGTGGATGATGATGTGGTGTACATTGCGGAGCATGCGATTGCCAATCTCGTGAGAGAGCGATTGCGAGAGCGATGCTTGCTGGTGTCTGCAAACGTAGTTAATCATGCAATTATGTCTGCTTTGCATCAAGATCGTGGTGCGCACAGAGGGTTTTGGCCACCGGCGGAGCAGCGGAGAAACCCCTCCATGCGTTTGCCCTGGAAGAAGATGTCAGAGATCAACATGTCACCCGAGTTTACGATTGAACGATTTCCAGCCTCACGTTGTGTGGTTGAGCGCTGGGATTGTGCAGCATTGGTGCACGAAAGTTTTTTGGATCGCGTAAGAGACAACACCTTATGCACCTTTGACTTTGGATGGCATGACTTCAATCGTGCTGGATACAGGGAACACAAATATATTCACCGATCGCCGAGCATTGGCAAGGAGTACTGGTCGGAGGGGGCACGCTGGAGTACAAATTTCTTTGTATTTAGGCCCTCGGATTTAGCAGGCGTGAACTGGGAGAATGTCCATGGGAAAGGTGATGATGAGGAAGAGTTCACGGGTCCGCACGCAGAACGGCGAGACCAGCACTCTTGCGCAGTTGGCTCTGCGCTGGTCGTGCACTTTTCCTATGGTTCCCAGGAACAAGGTTTGATGTCCTACACGGACCTATTGAAGCGGTATGACAAGCTGTCAAGACGCGTTGAAAATGTGAGCGTCCGCATAAGGGTGGCTTGACAAGAGAGAAGGCCGTTGAGAAGATGATGTCCGTTCTTACTTTTGTAGCTTCTGTTTTGTCTGACCATGATGCCACTGCAGTCTTTGCAAACCTATGCTTTTTTGGCTTGGAGCGGTTGGAGCAGGATCAACCTGCCATGTAGAATTGAGGTTTCCCTAAAAGTCTAGAAACCAAATCATTAGTGCTAGCGCTTCTTTGAAGAAGCGCGAACTATCCTGCGTCCTGTTCCTAGTCGCCCTTACTTAATTGAGTAGGCACCTGCTTAATTAAGTAGGAGGAGCGAGCTAAGAAAAACTCTTTTGCTTTCTGGATCGTTTGTTTCTGCAACACAACTCTGATCAGCGGGGCTAAGGGCCGGCATGATTTGCTGCAACTGATCAAGAGTTTGCAGCTCAGTGATGAGCGTGAAACAATGTGAACCCAAAGGTGTCACAGCAGTCGGCCCTTCAGAAGAGAAGCTGAGGCGTTTGCTCCAGCATTGCTACTTTAGTGATCTTCATGGACATGGGAATGCTGAGGCCTGCAGTTTCTAATGTATGGGAGACATGAGTATGAGTATGACTCAGAGCTCTGCAGCATTTGCCACATGAGCAGCGGCCAAAACCTCCCATGTAACAATTTGCGGAGAGGTTAATTCGAGATGCCTTTGCGAACGATAAACACATAGTCACACAGTCAAGAATGAGTTTACCAACTTTTCATGCGCGAAAGCTTGCGAAGGTGTTTTTGCACAGAACGCAGCGCGAAAGCCACAACGGCCGCGCAAGGGTTGCCAAAGGAACTTGGGAAAGAAGCACCCCGAAAAACGAATTCCGGTTTTGAACCACGCTCATATTCTCAAGAAACTTAAAGCCCGTGGAACATCTCTGGCTATCTCCGGTCTGAGTCGGACTGGTGTAGGTCGACAGCCCGTGGAGGCGATCCCGGTCACTGGACCAAGCAGGCTTGTTTTATGCGTGCAAATAGACCGGTGACTTGACATGCCACACTTTTGATCACCTGTCAGAGTCTTGCAGGTGTTTCGACAGTTTTTGAACGAAAGCACTATTGCTGGGCAGAGTTTGTGCACAGTCCAGCTTGTCCATAGATGGAAGAACTCAGAAACTCGTGTTGCAAATGGGGTCATAAATACTTGCGTCCCATACTGCAGAGCAGTGTAGCCACAGATTGGCCACATCCATAGTCCACAACTGGGAAAGGCCTTCGAGTCTGGCGTCGGCCTCCATAGTGCGGCTGTGGCCTCTGCTGTGGCGGAAGGTTTATGGCCAAGGCAGGGCTTTTATTGAGACCGTGATGTGTTTGGACGATATCCGATATGTATATATATAGATAAAAATCACAACAAACGGCAATTCCAAGGTTGGAGGCCATCGCTCCTAGATCGCTTCTAGGTCGGCCATCGCTATTAGGTTCCTTAAGGTTTTCCTTAAGGTTTCCTACTTGGTCCCATGATGTCCCATGCTGCTGTTTCAACATTCAGGCGGAGCTGCAGCTCACGGCTTCTCTGCAGTGCCGATGCCAAGATCTCGGGTGAAACGGAAAGGGATGGACGTGTGGCCCCCCTTGTCCGAACAGGGTCGTTTGCAAGATTCTCAAGCCTGCTCTCATCAATGCAGCTTGAGTTCCTTTGTTTTAATGAAGGATGCAAGGCCGTAGAAGCTTGGTGAAGTCACATCCACATCACCCAATGTCATCCACCATATTATATTGTAAGGGCTTATAGAGGAACTGAAATCACATTGTTAGGAGCCTTTGTTTAAACTGTACGATGACCATATTGTGCACCTGACAATGACCAACTCAATTTGATTTCGTCGCCATTTTCAAGGCGTCCGCTTTTGAGGGCCTTCAAAGGTCAGTCTGAGTGCAACGAAGACGATCCATTGTTCTGGAAATTCAATTTTTCAGAGCAAAGATTTGCTCGGATGCCAATAGGTCGGCAAGTTTGCTTGAGGTACCTTTCAAGACAATATGACCCTGCAGTGCCACAATACACCCGGCACCTTGCGAATTTGTCGCCCTTCCCGCTAGTCTTTTCATTGTTTGCAGACTCTTCCTTCGCAAGCATTGAGCTACAGCTTTTCCCTTAAATAAGATATTGATTTACCACGCAGAATATACTTGCAGCCCTGCGGTACTGCTTATGCTTTCATACAGTGTACTAACCAGTTCCGAGAGACATGGTTCACATTTGTTTCTACTGATTATTTTCCACACACACACACACACATTTCCTTGCAGTCTATGAATCGAGGCACCTCCCGGTCCTGTGTTGTGTGTGGGTTCAGCTTATAGCGTGAACTGAGGCATTCTCGCATCTTTCGGCTTTGATTGCTTTGCTCCGCAAGAGTAGCAGCCTACTACAAGGTTGGGCATGGCAGAAGCACCCCTCCAATCTTGTGGAATAGATGCCCGAAGCATCCTCAAGAAAGCTTGTACTGGAGAGAAGTGCTGAAGTTGCTTGGGAATGCTGATGACTTGAACCACTCACTATACATACATAGTAACCTTTGGTCAGCTTCTAAGCTTAACGTGCTCTCAAAGTCAAACCACGGAGATTCGTGAGTAGCCCAATGCAGTCTTTGCAGGCCTTGCCTTGTGCTTTTTGCCAACAGCTTCCACAGCCACGGACTCTGACAGACTGAAAATCCCAGCAAATCTCACTGGTCGTTGAACTCAAATGTAAACATACTGAATCAACACTGCCAAAGGGAAGGCCATCACAGCGGTATTTCCCGAGCATTGCATCGGGATTTGGTTTGCTAGCTTTCTTGGCTTGTTTGTGTACAGCTCAGCTCGCCGCAAGCTGCAAGCTTGTTTGCAAAGCCAGTGTTGAAAAGCCAAAGTAGGGACCAAGAATAGAAAAGGATATCCTTTGGATGATTCTATATAATGTGGAGGGGAATGGGATACCTTCCGTGTATTTTTATGTGCGCGGACACTGGAACATGGTGCTCAGGTTGTCTTTGACATCGCAGCGCTTGCCCTCAGGCTGATCCCTACAGTCTGTAGTGCTCAAACATCGGTTGACAAGGAGTTAATCAGTTAATGAATGGACGTCGTTACGTCGTTGGATAGATTCGAGTCCGGGACGAGATGTGCTGCAAATCAAGTGGCCATTGACATCAACAGCTCTCGTGCTTCAGATACTCTGACCCGTAGCCTCTATGGTGGGATGTTGTAAGGACTTGTGGTACCGCACTTTTCAAGAATCGTGAAACAAAGAAGATAGGCTCCTCGCAAGCATGTGATCAGCATGACTGCATGACTGCAGTTGATCAGCCATGCCGCAAGGCTTTCCTCTTGTAAGTCAAGGAGGCCATCGCTACTAGGTTGGAGGCCATTGCTACTAGGCTGGAGGCCATGGCTACTAGGTTGGAGGCCATCGCTGGTAAGTTGGAGGCAATCGCCAGTAGGTTGGAGGCCATCGCCAGTAGGTTGGAGGCCATCGCTAGTAGGTTGGAGGCCATCGCTAGTAGGTTGGAGGCCATCGCTAGTAGGTTGGAGGCCATTGCTACCAGGTTGGAGGCCATCGCTACTAGGTTGGAGGCCATTGCTACCAGGTTGGAAGCCATCGCTACTAGGTTGGAGGCCATCGCTACTAGGTTGCAGGCCATCGCTACTAGGTTGGAGGCCATGGCTACTAGGTTGGAGGCCATCGCTACTAGGTTGGAGGCCAT